GGTGGGGGATCGAGCTATTGGCTCGCCTCTTTCGTCGCGGCCGCCTCGGCGGGAGCCACGCGCTCGTCCTTGGAAGCGGGCGGCAACGCCGCGGTGGGAAGGCAGAAGGCGCGGCGCGGCGCGTCCGGCGGAGCTGCGTTTTTTTTGCAAAGGCGCCATGACCCGCTTGACTGATTTGCATCCAGCGCTCTCTTCCTCCTCCAGGCGATCGCTCTTGCCCGGCAGTTCCTCGCCGCTGCTCCCCGTCTCTCCTCGGGCCAAGTTGCGAGGGCGAGAGGGGGGCGGGAAGAGGTGCTCGCGGGGACGGATTACAAGCAGGAACCGGGCGCGCTTGGCTGGGGGCGCCGGGGGGGGGGCACACATGAAGGCGGAGGCAGGCCAGCAGGGCTGAAGTTGGCCAGGTTGCGCTTCGGCCCAGGATGGAAGTTGCCAAGCGGATTCTTTGTCTAGGCGAAGAAGAGAAGGAAAAGGCGACCGTCCTTCCGTCTGCAAAGCCGCGCCAGCCGGGGCGACCCACCGATAGCCAGGCAGCCCATCCTGCGCGGATCACCTTAGGTAAATTCAGTGCCCTTCCTCTTGGCTTTTTGTCCGTAGATCTGGCGACCGACTGAGGCTGGATTGCAGGGGTTTTTTTTTGTTTTTGTTTTTTTTTGTTTTTTTTGCCACGGGCGATTGTTTGTATCTGTGCACGCCTGCGAAAGAGCGCGCGTGTGAAATGGGATACAGGTACACCTTTTTTTTGTGTGTGTGTGCTCTGGTTGTATTGCGAAGAAGGATTCCCCCAGACCTTGTTCGTGCAGGAAAAGAGCTGTGGTATGTACTGCCTCCGGCCAATTTCCCTCCATTTCATTTCTAAGGTTCTTCCCGCGCCCCCCCCCCCCCATCTCCTTTCCCCAGCTCTCCAAGAAATTGCATAAATATATCCTTGCCTTTCAAACCAGTAATTTCTGTCGTTGGCATTTAAAGCAATAAAGGACCACGCTGCTTTTTTTTTTTCCTCAGCAACTAAGGAGGCACTGCCATGGTGCCAGAGGACACGGGAACAAGGTGGCTGTTGCTGTGACTGCCTATGGAACTATTTAAAGTGTGAGGACACAGTCACCTCGGGGTAACCCTTGTGGGGCCTCCTAAGAGAGTAGTTCAGGCACAGCGTCTCTCATTCCTTGCAAGCCTGCTGATTTCGAACCCATCACTCAACCTATCTTTCAATGGTTGTAAGAATCCCAGTTCTCTGAGTGTGATAGGGAGAGCAGAAATAGAGTGGAGGGGGGGAGAGTCCCAAAGGATCCAATGGCACTGCCACCTGCCAGCCTCACCCCCTCTCTACCCCCCTTCAAGGGGGGAAAGCACAAAGCAACCATCCAAATCCATTTTCTAGGCTGCAACTGGATTTTGCTGACAAGGCCCCTTCCTCCCTGATTGAAACCAGTTGATAAACAGTGATATCTCTATCACTGTTCTCTAAATGAAGTCCATTTGATCTCTAAATGAAGTCCATTTACGAGAGTAATTGGCAAACATAAAGTTTGTAGTTTCCACCCCTGGGAGAATTTTAGGCAGGGCAGGAAGGTTTAGGAAATTTTGGAAGCCAGGGGATGGACTAATACAACCTCAGCTTTCACAGAACTTGAGTTAATGATGACCAAACTGATCCTGAGGTTTTTTTTTAATAATAATAATAATAATAATAATAATAATAATAATAATAATAATAATAATAATAATAATAATAATAATAATAATAATAATACTGAGCATCAACTCCATTTGCTGGATTGTCCAGAGGAGATTCTTACATCAGCAAACCTTTTTTGGATGCTCTTGTGTAACCATGATTTGCCCCCTCCGTTGTTTATTTTAATCGCTTGCCCCCTATTTTCTACACAGGCTGAATTTTCTTTTACCTTCCAGTCTCCTTTTCTTTTTATCTTCTTGGATTCAGACAGAAATTGATCTTAGAGCTTTCCTTTTTCTTTTCTTCTACCACCAGGCAACCTATCCTCCAGGTAGATTTATTTGAAAGAGGAATTTGCAAGAAGGGGAGAAAGGGGGAGGCAGATATCTTGATAAGAGGAAGGGCAGCAGTCCTTAAATTTGTCCATTATTTCTTTTTGGGTAGAAAGAGGTCCCTTGTCACCCAACCCTTGGTTCTGGAGGATTTTTTTTTTCAATAGCCTAGTGGAACGGAGAGCAAAGACTTTCTAGAGCAATGGGGAGGTGGGGGGAGAGAAAGAGGATGTGAAGAATAGGAAAAAGTAAGGCAAGAGAAAAGGTCCTTGTTTAGACACACATATCTAGACACACACAAAAGACACAGAGCTGCTCTTGTATTTTATTCTCCTGGGACAGATTTAGGTTTGACAGAGAACTGCAGAGAATCTAAGAACCTAAGTTCCTGCCTTGAATGGCCTTAAGGTCTGCTACTCTCAAGAATTTGGTGGAATCTGAATGTTGGATAGCCCAAGGGGCTTCCCTATTCACCCCCCCCTAGATTATTTTTCAGGGGAAGGGAGGGCAGGCAGAACCTCCAGTTCAAATCCTTTCTGGCATTTCGGTTCCAACCTCCCCCATCCTCTTAGAGTTCCCCCACTTCTGACCTCTTCCTATATAGATACCCATATATCTAGATATATAATACATTCTTCCTCCCCGTCCTCGTCTTTACAGAAGCAGGGGGCAAACCCTGTACAGTCAGGCAGGACTTCCCAGGTGCGTGCTTCCGATTGGGTGCCAAGTGTGTCTTCCTGAAGCTCTAGTACATGGTGGGGAAAACTGATCCGGAGGCAATAAGGTCTATAGAGGCATCCAGAGTGCAGGGGAGAAGGTCTGCTCCCCCTCCTTGGCTGGTCTTCCACCCCAGACCCTTCCTTCTCTTTCTTTCCCAAAGATGAGTGGTGGTACCCAGCCTAGGCAGCTTAGCAAGAGCAGAACTGGGAGCCTGCAGCAGCCCCCTTCTCCTCCCTCCTCCATCGACTGTGCCAAGCAGTATCTCTGCATCCTAAAGAAGCTCATTGCATTCCTACCACGTCTCATCTGTGCTTGCTCGCCCCCCTTCCTTTTTGCTTCAGCTCCCAAGCTAGAGTATAGAATCAGAGCAGAGAGAAAGAGAAACCAGCAATCCTTTATTTATTTATTTTTGCAACTTAAAAAAAAAGAAGAAACCGGGGACGCTCTTTGCATATACGTCTTTTTGTTTTTTCCCCTTTATTTTGCTAAAGTAAGGTTTGCCAGGTTTTTTTTTTTTTCCCTCCCTCTTTTTTTCTGCTCTCCAAATGTGCTAAAAATCTCTCCTTCAAGCCTGGTAAGTAGAAGCTTTTCTTTTTTTTCTGGATCTGGATCTCACACATTTGTCGTTGTGCTTGCTTGTCTAAGCAAAGAGTGAAATGAAAATGCTGAACTGAGAGATCCTTTCCCTCCCCCTCCCTATTCATATATTCTCTTCCTACAGGGCTCCCTAATTTCCTTCATTTCCGAATTGGTCCTTTGCTTTCTTTCCTACTGTGAATCCCACTAACTCCTCCCTCCCAGTTTTTCTTCCTAAATATGACCTTTTACCATGAAGGGTTCTTCCCCCCCCCCCTTTATTTAACAGGAGGGAGGAATTGAAGTGTCTTCTCCTGTATGGAGGAAGTGCAAGAGAATCCATCTATCTTTGCTGCGAGGGCAGCACAACTAAATACCAGGACTCTTGGCAAACCTCTGAATGGGAAGGCTGCGAAGGCCCCCTCCCCAATCTTTGTCAGGATGCCTAGTCTTTAACAGTGATCTTTTCTTCTGTATTGGAATGAGGGGGGGGGGCAGTGGAAGAAAGAATCCAGGAAACAAAGACAATATGAAAAACCTGTGTAGGTCATTGTGTTCTGGTAAGCCTCCTTTAAGTAGATTCTTATGTGTGTGTGTGTGTGTGTGGTGGGGACAGCTTTTACTAGAAAGGAATGATTATTTTGCTTATGGTTGATGCAAAAGTCTTTTATCTTCTCCCAAGTTTCAATCTTCCTCCATTCCTCCTTTCCCTTGCTGGATCAGCCTTGGGTAGACTTCTGAGCACAAGTCATCATCATTCAAAGTATCCCCCCTCCTCTTTCAATGTACAGCCAGACAATCTCCGTATCAGCCTTTTCATTGCTTAGCCTTCAACTTGGATCTGTAGATGGCACAGCAGGTTCTTTCCAAAGATTAATCATCTCTAAATGCTTTAATCAGCTGAAATGATTAATATGGAGTATGCTTTTTTATCTGGTACTATATTCCAGTTATGTTAATTTGGTTTTGGGTGCTGGGAAGAGCAGAGGCTTAATTTTCTTCTTGTTTTGAGTCTGGCATTGCTGCTATGTACAGTATTTAGTTTCTAATTCCAGTCGCAAGCATTTCTTTAGGAATCAGAAATATTGGAAACTTGTTTGTCCTCATTTTCTTCAATAATGTCTGTTGTAGTGTTAGGTAAAATTGGACATTCCCCTGGTGGGATCCCATCACTTGAAAGTTAAGTGTATGTTTGCTTACAGTGATAACCTGTACCCTTAATTGAGTATCTGTATACAGATTAAAAGGGGGGGGGAAACATCTCTTTTCAGCCGCATCTTTTCATTTCTAATTAATGCAAATATGAATCTGAGGCTGAGCTTGTGCACATCATCTGCTTCCTGAAGATTGTCTCGGTTTTGGGGGAAAATGTTTTTAGATCATTTACAACACAGGCCCTACAGCCTTCATTTTCTTCCTCGTTATGGTGTTATGTACTAAGCAACATTAGATGAAGACAAGTGGGGGGAGGGAAAAAGGCCACTGTCTGATTAAATGTTTGGATATCACTTGAGTAAGAAAGTAAGTATATACCACTCGTGCTGCTAGGTTGTTGATTTTTTCCCCTTTTGTGATGAAGAGAGGAATTCCCGAAAACTCATTCCTTCTCTCCCCCATCGGATTGCTCAAAAATACCAATCAATTGTAATCCCTTTGTGTTGTTGATTCTCATTACAGTCTCGTAATCCCTCCGAACCATGAAGCCTTCGATGGCAGATCCGCCCCGTCAGAGAAGGATGCTGTGGATTACCCTTCTAAGCACAATTGCAGTAGCATGGACTACCCCCATTCCTTTGATAGAGGACTCAGAGGAAATTGAGGAACCCTGCTTTGATCCTTGTTACTGTGAAGTCAAAGAAAGCCTTTTTCATATACACTGCGACAACAAGGGATTTATAAATATTAGCCAGATAACAGAATCATGGTCAAGACCTTTCAAACTTTACCTGCAGAGAAACTCCATGAGAAGATTATACACAAACAGTTTTCTCCACTTGAACAATGCTGTTTCTATTAACCTTGGCAACAACGCACTGCAAGACATTCAGACGGGGGCCTTTAATGGGCTCAAAATTCTGAAGCGACTGTACCTGCATGAGAATAAACTAGACATTTTCCGAAATGATACTTTCCTGGGATTAGAGAGTCTGGAATATCTGCAGGCAGATTACAATGTTATTAAGCGAATCGAAAGTGGGGCATTTCGAAACCTGAGTAAACTCCGGGTCCTGATCTTAAATGACAATCTAATTCCCATGCTTCCCACTAATTTGTTTAAGTCGGTGTCTCTGACTCACTTGGACTTGCGTGGGAATAGGTTGAAAGTACTTTCCTATCGAGGGATGCTGGACCACATCGGTAGGAGCTTGATGGAGATTCAGTTGGAAGAGAACCCTTGGAACTGTACTTGTGAAATAGTTCAGCTGAAAAGCTGGCTGGAGCGCATTCCGTATACTGCCCTTGTGGGAGACATTACGTGTGAGACCCCCTTTCATTTTCACGGCAAGGACTTGAGGGAAATCAAAAGAAATAAACTCTGCCCCATGTTGTCTGACTCAGAACTTGTCAGCGTTGGTGTTCCTCAGTTATCCTCAAGCAAGGAAAATGCTTGGCCTACTAAACCTTCTTCCATGTTGTCCTCCTTCCATTTCACTGCTTCCTCTGTTGAATATAAAACGTCCGTTAAGCAGCCCAAGCCAACAAAACAGCCCAGGGCTCCCAAACCACCACCTACACCCCGAGGCCTGTACCCTGCACCCAACCAGCCTCCGATTGCTGCATACCAGACGAGGCCACCTATACCCATCATATGTCCTACCGGCTGCTCTTGCAGTTTGCACATCAATGATTTGGGTTTAACTGTCAACTGCAAGGAAAGAGGGTTCCACAACATTTCTGAGCTCTTGCCCAGGCCCATCAATGCCAAGAAACTCTACCTGAGTGGGAATTTGATACAAAAAATTTACCGTTCAGATTTCTGGAATTTTTCTTCCTTGGATCTTCTGCATCTTGGGAACAATCGGATCTCGTATGTGCAGGATGGGGCTTTTATTAACTTGCCTAATCTGAAAAGCCTGTACTTGAATGGCAATGACATTGAGAAGTTGACCCCAGGCATGTTCAGAGGCTTGCAGTGCTTGCATTATCTGTACTTTGAGTACAATCAGATCAGGGTGATCCAGCCCGCCGCCTTCAGTCTCATGCCTAACCTGAAGCTGCTCTTCCTCAATGACAATCTCCTGAGGACCCTGCCTACTGATGCCTTTGCTGGCACATCCCTGGCCAGACTCAACCTGCGGAACAACAAATTCCTGTACCTGCCTGTGGCTGGTGTGTTGGAGCACCTTAATGCCATTGTCCAGATAGACCTGAAGCTCAATCCTTGGGATTGCACGTGTGATCTGGTGCCTCTCAAGCAGTGGATCGAGACGATCAGTTCTGTCATTGTGGTGGGGGATGTCCTTTGTGCCAGCCCAGAGAACCTTACTAATAGAGATGTCCGCTCTGTTGAGTTGGAGGTGTTGTGTCCAGAAATGTTACATGTTGCCACTGCCTCGCCAGCCCCACCACCATCAGGTCACCCAAGTCCTACCAGTCCCTCACCCTATGAGCTACCCCCTGCTGGAGGAGGGCCAGTACCACTCTCTGTGCTCATCCTTAGTCTACTTGTGCTGTTCTTCTCTGCAGTCTTCATTGCTGCAGGCTTGTTTGCCTTTGTCTTACGCCGACGGCGCAAGAAGCTCCCTTTCCGGAACCAACAGCGGCAGGAAGCCCTTGACTTAACGGGCATCCAGATGCAATGTCATCACCTCTTCGAGGAGGGAGGCGGTGGAGGAGGTGGTGGAATGAGTGCATCCCCAGAGAAGGCACCCCCTTTGGGTCATGTTTATGATTACATCCCCCATCCGGTAACCCAGATGTGCAACAATCCCATCTACAAGCCGCGTGAAGAAGATGAAGTTATAGCAGGAGAATCTGGGCAACCTGGGGACATACTTCTAGGAGGTGGCAATGGAGGTAGTAGCTGTGTTGGGGAACACTTTGCTGACCCCACTAAGGAGAGTGGGAACAGTAGCTGCTATAGGACCTTGCTGGAGAAGGAAAAGGAATGGAATCTGGCAGTGTCCAGCTCACAGCTCAACACCATAGTGACAACCAACCATCACCCACACCCTCAGCCATCTGGAGGAGGAGTTGTTGGGGGGATTCCTCTCTTGGGGGAGCTAGCCCTGGTGCCGCCTGTCTTCCACCATGAGAAGAATGGTGGGGTAGTACTCTTCCCTCCTAGTGGTGCCATTCTAGACAACAGGGAGAGGCCCCCATTGGTCCCTCCATGCTCAGTGGGCTTTGTGGACTGCCTATATGGCACAGTGCCCAAATTAAAGGAACTGCACGTGCACCCCCCTGGCATGCAATATCCAGACCTACAACAGGACGCCAGGCTGAAAGAAACTCTTCTCTTCTCAGCTGGTAAGGGCTTCCCAGAACATCATCAACCCCCCCAAAGCGAATACCTCGAGTTAAGGGCCAAACTCCAAACCAAGCCGGATTACCTCGAAGTCCTGGAGAAGACCACTTATAGGTTTTGAGAAAAAACGTCTAGCTTTTTACAGCCAAATTCCAGCATCTCCCACTCCCTTCCCTGCCCCAGAGCACCCTCACATCCCATCTGCTCCTCTCCCTTTCCTCCCCCAACCACCGCATGCTGATACTAGAAGATACAGCTCTGTGCTTCCCCCCTGCCAGTTGTTGGTTTGGAGGAAGGGCCTAACTCAGATGATCATTAATCGATAAAAGTGCCTTTGCAGACTTTTGCCAGCAGATGTTAATCAATCATTATTTTTTTATATTGAAAAACAAAAACCTGAGACTTTGACTGTGCCATGTTGTCTAAGATATAAGAATATTATTATTAATTAGCATCATGGGGGAACTTTGTCTTGATCCTGACAAAGTAAAATTCTGTGTGTACTATCCTCCCCCTCTTTTTCCTCCTCCTCCTCCTCCTCCTCCTCCTCCTCCTCCTCCTCCTCCTTTCTTTCTCTCTCTCTCTTGCGCCTTCACTCTTTCTTTTAAGAAACAAAACACTATAGAAACACAAATCTTTCCATTCTATTTTTTATGTTGAACAGTGGGAGGTGGACTCAAAACATCTTCAGCTTCCCCCCCTTTTATCATGGCACAGATTCTGTACATTTATTTAAAAGAATACAAAAGTGGGGTGAATAACAACAAAAATGCAGTTAGCTGCATGTCTGGAAACTGCTTTTGGGGGGATGGAGTTGTCCTCTGTTAATGTTTTCACTCTCTTCTCTCACTTCTTTCTCACCTACACGCACACACAAGTCCCCAATCTCAGTCTTAACTTTCTATTCCCAGCCTTCTTCGATCAGCTTCCTCTGTCATTGCAAGGTGCCCACTCTCCCTCCATTTTCCACAATAAATGTTGTGTAAGGGAGATCAGAGACATTGCTAGCCTAAAATTATCATTTTAAGCCAAGATTTCCAGCTCTTGGTCTCTTTTGTGGCATTCCTGTGGGGAAGAAAAGGTCAGTTTCATCATTATTATTATTTTTTAAAAGTTCATTACTGTTCTATTCAATCGCAGCCACACTTCTAATTAAGACTCCAACATAATAAGTGTACAGGTGGGAGAAAAATAAAACTCACTGGGTACCAATCACAGGTATTTCTTAGAAGAAGCACTTTTAATGTTCTTTCTTTTTTCTCTTTCTTGCTCTCACACAGACACGCTCTCACACACAGACACAAATACAAATGTGCATATATTTATTCTGTACTTTCAAGTAAATATCAATTGTAAAGGTAATGTTTAATCATTGTACAGTGATGCGTCTGGTATAGCTTTCCTAATAAAACATTTTGAAAAAAATAATAGATATATATTAGAAGATACAAAAGCTTGAATTTTAAAAACTTGAGCTATACCCTGTTCATACCCTTGCTGCCCGTTAAGTCCATGTTGTTTTATTAATACCAGTACAATCTATTGTGATGTTAATAGAATATAACAAAAATAACAATCTCTGCAATTTTTCTATCAAAATGCTATTTTGAATTTTTAAAATCTGATTTTCAATCTCTTTCTTTCTTTTCCCTTTTCCCTTCTGCTCCTTCTGTTTTCCTCCATTTCAATTTGTTATGCTTTTATCAGAGTGAGTTCCTACATAAAAATATGCAATAGATTTATTTAATTCTTTAAAATTATTGGTACCATTATTTATGTTTTGCTCCAAGGAATGCAAGGAAAAGTCATTTTATTTAAATTTAAACCCCCTCCCTTTGGAAGTTTAGATTTTTAAAATATATTGAATATATTATATATTATTTTTAGGATGGGAGGCATAAATTTCAACATTTTTTTTAACAGTGTGTGGGCATGTTGCTTTTTTTCCTCTTTTTCTATAACAGAAAATTAGGCCTAGTAACTTTTTTTAACCTACAAACTCCCATTTGCTTTACTGAAATCATAGTTTCGGCTGAGATAATGAAGTGGTTTTGTTGTGTTTGCTATGGATATTTTTTTAATATATCTTCTCTTTTACTTTATAATTGCTATATTGCCAAATTGACTTCATAGAGCATTTTTTTCCCCAAACCATTTTTACTAGTGTGAAAAGAAGCAACAGCAAAAAAAAAAAAAGTTTGCTTGTTTCATTTATTTCCTTTCCAAGGTATCTAGCTGGTATCTTGTTTCTTGTAGAACTGAGTTGACACATGAAAAAAATCCGAAGGAAAAGATTTCCTTGGTGGAGAAAAAAAATATCCGTCCCGTATGGCCAGTAGATGGCACCCAAGCTCCAGAAATGCCACCCGGAGACCAGAGGCTACTTTTGAATGGTGCACACAGCCTATCCATTTGGAATCCCGAATCTGCCCTTAATAGAAAATCATCACGTTGAATGTAATTCACCAGACGTCACTAATGCCTTACATGAAGATAAAAATCAAACTAAAGGGAAACTGTGGAGAGTACCTCCTTTAGTATGTACCAATATGGTGGGGGTACCCTGTTTCTGATGATTTCAAGCAATGGTTTTTATATTTATATAACACAGACACACAGACACACACTCATGAAGAGAGGGGAAATGTATTTACAAAATAAAATAAGTCATAAAAGCAATTTATTTGTCTTACTAAAATGTTATCCAGGGAATTTAAAGTGTCTCTACTTGTAAAATGAGGTGGGGTGGGATGGGGAACCTATTTGCCTCTCACACTCTTGATCCATGATTTGTTTGTTCTAATTTAGTTAAGGATTCAGTGCATAACTTGCGATCTTGGGTGTAAAATATATGTTCATATGGTTGCTAATCACTCAGGATGTGTTCCTTTAAAAATAAAAATAAAATAAACTGGAATAGGAAACTCACCTTATCCTGTTCTATAGCCTGGTAAAAATCGGAGCTCTGAAAATTAAGCTAGTTCAAGATCTTGAAGATCTTACTCTTGAGTTTTCCCTTTATATTCACCTACTTGGCAATAATATGAGATGTATCCCACTTAATAATAATAGAAATTAAATGTAGGCTCTTCCACCCAGACAGTTGGATTGAAAACAGTACAACATTGCATTTACTTACTGAATCTTATTTGCAATAATTGATCCATGAACTACACTTAGCAAGGCAGTAACAAAAGCTCAGTTTTTGCTTTGTGGTATCTTTGTGCTATTAATCATAGGCATATTGAATCAAAGTAAACTTGTGTACAAAGCTCAAGTCATAAAATGTGTAGTATAGTTGACTGTGGTTTTAGTTAAGTATGCTTTATGTCCAGAAACATTTATGTCACTGGTCCATCTACTCTGAGTTGCAATAGCTTTCTAGAACTTACTCAGGCCTGTGGTCTTAACTGGATTGAGCCATTGGCTTCTCCCCTAAAGTCTTATTTTACTACTGTCATTTTTCGTGTGTAAAGTGGATACAGTCCCCCTCCCTACACTACATAAAGATGATTATTCCTTTATTCCATAATAGAGAAAATAGCTCTATTCCACATAGGAAGAAAGAATCTAGAATTTGGCTACATAATACTGTTCAAAATCCAGCAACAGGAAATTAGATTGAAAGGGGTGGCATTTTCAGGTATGATAGATTCATGCTGGATAGAACTAACTTTGTATATGATTGTAGTGAAAAAGTATATCAAGATTCAGCACAATAATTGTTACAATAGCTGTGTTAAGTTTAAGATGTACAAAGAACTTTTATCTTAATGATTCCTGGCTACATCTGAGTTCCTAAAGCATCTGCTGCTAATAATTTCTAATACAGAGTTTCTGAAATTAGAAAATTTCAAGTGTATTTTTTGGCATAGAGGTATCATTGCAGTTTTGGATTTACAGCATTACCACTTCATCAAGCTTATTTGTTTCTCCTAATTGGTTGGATGGTCATGAAGCCCTTTTTTAATTGTCAGAAAGCATAAATATACATTTATAATTAAAATAATTATAATTTAATTCAATCTATAGCCTCCCAACTCAGTCAAGCTATTTTCTAAAGGCAGTTATGACCCTTTGCTTTTTTTGCTGCATGTATGGATAAAGTTTGATTTTATAAAATCTTCAAAACATGATGAACTGCTCAATATGTCTTGAAATATAACATCACATGAGCATCTAGTAGAGATAAATGGTTATAAATAATATTTTTCTTTTGTTTATATTGTCAACAAAGGCATCTAAGTTTAAGTATAGAAAACAGTTTTGAACTAAAACGCTGAAATAATATTAAGTGGAAACAAATGTACAAGATTAATTTTTCTATTCAAAAGAATGCTTTTGAAAGACAGAAAAAACACGGAGTCCGAATTTTGTTTGTTTCCTTGCATAAATAATTCTCTTGCATATTAAATATCCACTAAAGTCTGTCGTATTCAAATGGTCTGAAGACACAGCTATAATGCTGCTATATATATATAATATAAGTGTTAATTGAGGTAATATTACTGGATTGAGTGGCTAATGGGCAGAACCGTAGCTGTTCATTTCTCTAAAGTGGGTCATCCCATCAGTGGCTGTTTTTATTCATTAATCTGAGTGATGGGTAATTAGTGGAGATGGTTTATCACCATTAGCAGTATTGTTAGATAGCAGTAGCAATAATATTAATTGAAATTATTGTGAAAAAGAGATTACATTATATTCGTAGGAGGGAAGTGTTATGAAAATATGCTTCAATGAAGGCTTTTGCATAGAATTCTTGTATTTTTACGGGGGTTTGTCAAGCAAATGATTACCACTGTCAATACTTATACTAAATACCATATTATAGTTTCCTGAAATACGTTTTCCTTTCCGACCTCTTAGGGATATGTGATAATCTTCAACAGTGAGCAGAAAGTGGTGTCTGTTGAATACATGGGGGTGGTAGAGAAATGTCAGCTGCCTAGCAACCCTGGCATATGTGCATCCTTGTCAGTCGTACATCTATTAAACTCACAAAAGGCAAGAGACAAGCTAGACCCCATCTCACTCAAAGAATGGAATATTTGAAGGGCAAGGATGGGGGAAAGCCAAGAAGTGTGTGATGGTTATAATGGTGATACCTGCAAGGATAGA